AACTTTAAACATAGGGTGTAAGTCAGAGTAGATTTTTTTAAATAGAAGATTAAGCTAAATAGTATTAACATAAAAATGAAACCACACTCTGGGTGCTAAATTCATTTATATCTTGCTTCAAGTGGAATTTCTCTTATAGTAGCACTTTTATTATTATTATTTAAGCTGTGACTTAATAAACTTAATCTTCATGAATAAAGAATGTGTATTCATTCTTACCTATTTACATACTCCACAACTGAGTAGTCTGAATGGTATTGTGGTTTAGCCCACTGAGAGGACTTAGCCCCGCCCATCAAAAATACTCGATTTGAAAAGCTAGTGTGTAAATGGAATTATCCCCAGAGCTTCTCAGACTCATTCTTAAGGTTGAAGGAATTCTAACAATATGAACAAAAGAAACTTTAGTTAAAGTAATTGATGTGACAAAACATAAACATTATTTCCAGAATACTCCACATGTTAATCCAAGTTATCCATGTGAACTCAGAACCACCCCGCCATGAGCTGAGTTATCATCTGCAGGCTGCACAGAGGTAGGCCAAGGTAGGCCAAATCCCATTGCCAGCATCCTCAGCCTCATATAGAGGCATGCATCTTTTTCCTTAAGTGTCTTTGTTTTTCATGGTATTTTGTCAAGCTGCTCAGACTATTCTCTCTCTTTGATTCATGGGTCATTACCAAAATTTGAGATACATACAAATCAAGAAATATAAAATCTACATGGACAGAAACAAATGAAACCTTCCCAGTAATACCAATAAGCCAAGCAAGTTGAAACTTGGGCTGGTGACTCAGAAAGGACACTGTCAACTGTGTTTCCTGGAAGCAAAATAAGGGACCATAACACAGTCTGTCTCAAAACTTTGGTAGTGACTCATGCCCTACTTCCCTATTAGTCTTCTTATCTTTTAGCTGGTCCCTAATCTGGGGGGACTTGCTGGTTTTGTGCAACAGTAGACACATGCCATGGTCATCATTGTCCACATGCAGCCATCACACATCAGTCCTTTGTCATCCATTTTTTCCACACTATCTCACTGTCTTGGGCAGAGGAATGTGTAGAACATTAATAAGTGGTAGCACTCATTTATATAAAAGACAATTCCATTTTGAGCAGAAAATATTCCTAACATCACTTTAGTGCTGAACATCAACAAACCTTTTAATTGGCAGAAAACTATCTTTCCCTTTCTTTCTCATTATCTCCTCAGCTCCCAATTTATCCCTAAGATTCCACATTTTAATTCTGCTATCCCTTGGCGTAATCCCACTTCCTGCCATTTATATCAACCCTACTCTAGCAACTCTCCTCCATACACTTTCCATACTTAGAACTTCCCCATCCATTTCTTAGCAAAACTCTCTTGTCCTGGGTTGCTTGTTTTCCATGCCACATTCATGCTACTTTAAAAAGGTTTGCATATACTAATATAGAAATATGCACAAATAATACAACTTATTTCTTACTCCACCCACAAAATGACAAATTTAACATGTAGGCTTACAATTACCCAGGGGGTACTCCCAATGCTTGGAAATTTCAGGTAAGCATGTGGAAAGACAGTATTTTTAGACAGTTGGCTGTGCTGGTCTTCCTTCCTTTTATCCTATGTAGTGTTCTTCAAATCTCTTAAGTGGTTGCTGATGCATTAGGAGTGGCCTCCAGTTCTGTACTAAGGGCTGATGGTCCTGGTTGTCTCACAGACAAGTAACCAACATGCTTTGTGTTCCTCTGGTCTCATTTGTCTTTCTAGGGTTCATGCCCAGTAGTTTACCACACAGGATCGGACCAGTTAGAAAGATAAGCATCAAGTAACAATAAGACCCTCTTCAGTGAAGACTTCTTCTATGGAAACAGAATTGGAAGTAGGTGGCAAAAGGTCGCCTTAGACCACCTGCAAGGGTTGGGCTATACAGACCAGCCTCCGTGGGTGCTGGTGTGTTTATCCTGGGCCTCAAGCAACAACAGGGATCTGATGTAGGCTGCCCTTAGGAGCAGTAAGTACTGAACACTGTTATTGTTTTGATGAAAAGAACCTAGTGGGTTGTTTTTGATGTGCATATTAACAAAGAAAAAGAAAGACAACCAGGTGATTTCCTACACAAGCAAGCAAGACATTTTCCCTTGAAAATGTGCAAGATACCTCTCTGTTGGAAACACACACACACAAATGAAAAGTCCTTTCATCTAGAATCTGTGGTTTGTTTTTCTTTTATTCCTTCGTATATATACGAATACGTGAAAACACACAATGCTCAGACATGCGGCCTGATCAAGTGATAATCTCTTATAATGCGCTTCTATTTAAAGCCACAAACAGATGGAGGGTTTATGAGCAAGGCTGGTAAAAGTAAAAGCAAATGATTGCAATAGTTGTACTTTTAATAGGATTCCCCACAATCTAAAACATTATCCCCCGAGGAACAAATTGTTCTATAAAATTATGTTACTTAGGAAAGAGATAGTCGCCCTGACATTGCTGTGGCAACAGAGAAATGCGGATGGCCTTGTGTTGTGGAAGTGTCTCCACACAGATCGGTGTCCTGGGGCAGGGAGACAGGGATGTCAGGCACCGTGACCCCCAGACAACAAGCTCAGTAGGAAAGGATACAAGGAAGAAAGACCAAAGAGTAAAGGGGGGGGGGGTGCAAAACGTGTCTGAGCTTTGATCGAATTTATTACTTTCTAATTCTCTGCTTCCAAAAACAAGGTTTGGGAAATTCCTACAGATTTAAAATAAAACATGCAACGTAGCTTCCTCCTGTGGTAATTCAGACCAAAGTCTAGCTCTAATGTAGCAAATCTCGCTTAGGAAACGGTGGAATTGTAAGCAGCCCAACGTGGATTCATTATCATAATCTCTTCTGAAGAGAAACAAAACTCACCATAATTCTGTCAATAAGATAAATATGCCGTAATGATGGCCTTTACGTAAATTATAATTAAAGCTAATCTTAATTAAAGCTATGATACCAGTTTGGAAGAAAATAAACAACCCAAAGAGAGGGAAGCAATGTGGTCAATAACTCACTCCAAAAATATTTTGTGCCTCCAAAGCTCGCATTGAGGGAGACATTCCTGCACATGATACAAATGGTTCTGACATTAAGAAAAGTAAACAAGTAAGAAAAATAAAGATGGAAAAATTCTGTGGTCAGTTCACAAGTGCTTTTTTATTGTTTGAGGCAGGGTTAAAGCCTTTTATAAAGACAAGGATATATATGCCACTAGATTGGATGTGACATCAGACTAGTCTAGCTGCCCTTGCACAGAGCTCTGGGTGCCCATAATATGCCACGGAGAAAACATGTGTTGATGCTTCTAAACAAAGACCTGGGTGGGGGGGCGTAATGCAGCTCATTTAAAGCATTATCCCAGGATTGGTTTGTAGATCTATCAGAGAAAAGGTACTCCACTCTAGCAATTAATGGATTTGAAAGATGAAAGCACATATTCAACCTTCTCTAATCATTAACAGTCTCAGGGATTTTTATGTTAACTTGTCTAAATAGCTGATTAACAAAGAGGGTTGCATAATCTGCAAGTGGAACTCCTGCCCATCTCAATCCATGTCATTCAAGGCCTGTGTTGACTCAGTAGGCCAGAGGCTACATAAACGGACTAGCACTGTGAAAGAAAGTCCTCCTTGGGCAGCTCAGGGATTGTGAGACCCCAGAGACTTTTTGACAATAGCAATTTCCTAGTTTCTTGGTAATCTATAAATTAGAAAGATTCTCTTTCAGGCTTTGCTGTCATCAAACCGACCCAATACTGGGCATACAATGAACACCTTGGTCGAAATAGAAGCAGGAAAATAATAAATGCTATTGTGTCAAGAGCAATCAACCTTTCAAGTATCCTCTAGAGCGATGTGACTGGTGCACCAGCAAGTTAAATGCAATTATAGCACCCGACTACACTAGCATGATCATGCTTATTTTTCTTGTGACATTTGTTGTACCACACAGCCAAGAACTCATAAAGACAGCACCACCTCACAAGATAGGGATGGAATTGCTGAAAGGTCCTTAGAAAGATCCAAAATCCAAAAGGTTGTGCCTTGTACAAAAACTCTTTGGTCTGGTGTGTATTTTCTATAGTTTTCAAACACCCTGACTTATCACTCTACTTTTCACCACCTCACTAGCCTTAGATAGCACCTACAGGAGCAAACCAGCCCCAAGCACAAACAATGACCATAGGCATAGTTGAAATTGTGTGCAGTTAAAAAAATAAATAAATGCATGAGGGTCCCTGGTGCCATCAAAGCCATGTACCAGGAAAAGTGCCTTAAGCTGTATTGCATCTGGGGGCAAGAAGTAGAATTAGAAATGCAAGAAATGGGATAACGTCCGTGCTTTTGTAGTCAAGAGTTTAGGGAAAGCTATTTATTCCAGTACAGAGATTATAACAAGAAGCCAAGCATCAATGTACGACCTGGCTGAAAAGTTGTATCTTCTGATCTCTGAAAAAACTGCCAACTAAAGTGCATTGCATGTGCTAAAGATGGTGTTAAAGGTTGAAGGTGGGCGACAAAGGAGCTATGTCTATATAGAATATAAAAGGTTCAGATTGAAGGGGAATAAGGGAGAGTGGCTTTCCCCTAAACTGTGACTAGTTCCCTAAAAATAAACCCACAGCACAATGGCATCACAGGGATTCAACTCAATAGGCAAGCTGAGGACAGTCTCTCTCACTTGACTGCAGCCATTGAGCATGCCCAGGGAGGCCCCAGGTGTGACCTCTGCTCCCCTGTGAGCAGTGCAGGGACCAGGCAATCTATCATGGTGCTCATGCTGTCAGCCCTGGTGCTTCGCTGCTGCTGTCTGTCACCCTGGTGGATGAGACCTGCTTAAGGGCAATCATGTCAATCTCTATGTGACCACTCACTCTAAGGCAGAAGGATGATCTTGACAGGCCTGGCAAAGTCAGCAGAAGGTACCAAGAGCTGAAGTCACAGCCTTCCCAAAGAGAATCAATGTGGGCCATTATTATTTTTTTCTTCTTCTTTATTTTTGATTTCCCTTTCCCTCTTATTTTCACAAATTAGGCTGAGGCAAACACATCTGGGCTTTCAGAGTTGGTCATCGCGGATAAACCTGTTGCCCTCTGAGTTCTTCCCATAGTAAATGTAGCGACACTTCCCCAGGACACCTGCAAATAAAAAGAAACACATCAAACACATCATTACAGGTGGCACAATTAGTATAGCAGGAGAACACAGGTGCCGCGAAACAGACATGCGATGTAATCACAGGTCTGATGGCGGTGTGAATTAAGGGGAAAACCTTACCTTCTTGTCCTCAGAGGTGACACTCAAGTCAAATGTCATTACCAAGCACAAGTTCCTAGGAATATCTTGTTTACTCTTCCACATCATAAGGACTTTTCTAATTTGGTCAATTACTCCCCCAAATATAGCAGAAGCAGCCTTTCCTCACTCCAGGTCCCCTTAGTAGAGTTTCTAAAAAAGGAAACTAAAGGGTTTAAGATGTACAACGATCTTCCCAGAAGGTGACTATTGTGAAGTCCTTTTTTTTTTTTTAATTGAATGGTAACTATGTACATTAATGCACTTCTGGGGTACAGTGGGGGGTTTTCACAAGCAATCCAAAATACTTCCATCAAACTGGTCAACAGAGCCTTCATGTCATTTTCTCAGTTGTGAAGTCCTTTATCATGAATCAATATTGTTGACTTCCAGAGAGAATCTTCCAGACCCTGGAAGGCATCAAGCTCATACTGGATGATTAAGGAAGAGAGGTGATATTTATGAAACACCACATGCAAAGTAATGGGAGCTTCCCATATTAAATAGCTTCTTACAGGCATCCCCAACTCTCTCCTCACATTGAGATGCATTTGATTTTTATCTTTAGTTTTATTTTAAGTACTTTTGTGGCTACGTAGAAAGCTTTCCTCTTGCTCAAGGAGACCATAGGAGACTTAACTGTGAAAACTGCACTCAGACTAGGGTGGAACTTTTAAATCAACTCATTATTTATTCTAAATATCCCTCAGAAATCACCTGTGAAAACTTGGTAGGATTATTTTTAAAAAATCAGTTGCTTTTTGCCACCTTGGTTTTTTTTCTTCCAGTTTTAGAAAAACCAACTTTAATTCAGTTGTGTAGACTTGTCTTAGCACTAATAGGACTTAAAGTCACCGAAGTGTACACCAATAGAAATAAGGAAGGAAATGTCCACAGAACGTGTTAGTGAGCTGCAACTCTGCTTTTGGAAATAGCTACCTCAATGCATGATTCTATTTTTCCATGAGTTTGATAGAATGAAACTGAAAAACTTCATTTTTTTGTTGTAAATTTGGGATAAATTAGCTCTTGAAATTAGACACATCAGTGGCGCAAGGGAGTAAACACTTTTATAACTGTAAAAGAGATGCTTCTCAACTACAAAACTTTAAATTTTGTTCTTCGATAATGATTAAAATGACTCTCAGAAACTGTTAAGGTCAAGGCAGATGCTCCCAGGTTTAGATGGCTTGGAACAAGGTTGGAAATTGCTGGGATCCCAGAATATCTTAGAGCTGGCAATAAAGAAAGGATGGCATTATTCCATGACCTCACAACTGGCCTTGGGTTCACTCTTATTACTTCCGTTTCCTGCCATGTTCCCAGGAGCAAAGTTCCTGTGGATCACTGCTCCTCCGTGGTCCTGTTTTCTCACCAGCCCTCAATCCCTAATCTCTGTTTTTCAGCATTGGTCTAGTGCCCGGAAACATTGAGTTTGGATGAAACCTCACTGAGACCCTTCTTGGGGTCTAAATTATTCTTTCAGTTGCACTGAATCATGTAGTAACTGGGGTTGTATTAATATTGTCACCCATGCCAGGATCCTGGCGGTCTGTGGACATGGCTGGTCGGGCTCTGGCCCAGGAACAGCCTCCCCTCCAGGCCTGGGTGAGAGGGCCACAGATGTGTCAGAATATCCGCAGGAGGCTTCCTTAAACCTAATTGATTCAAACAAACGCTGAAGAACCTGGAAGGATGGGGCTGAGGGATGCTAATTTCTTTCTACAGCACTAGGACGGCATGAATTTTAATAAAAAGAAATGGATAGGGCTGTCGGATATTATAAAGAACACAGTCATTCTCTTGAGTAAGACAATAAAAGGCACACACACGCTCACACACCATGCGCGCACTCTTTCCAGCAAACTCTCTAGCACATCCAGGGATTTGATTTCTTTGCTCCCCTCTTTCCACGGCAAACTTCAATGCCAGATCTCACCTAGATACAAGTTGGACAGCGAGTGTGCCCTGCAAATAAACTGGATTCCCCTGGAACATATCCCCTAGGATATGTTCGGAACCTCATTCCCAGGCCTTCTCTCTGGCATTGATAGAAGCCCTTTTTTAAAGCCTACCCTGTTTCTTTAGGCCTGGAAGCAAGAATGTTTATAGACATCCTGGTGAGAGAAGGCTGTTTGATGAAGGCAGGAGACAGCGGCTAGGTGTCAACGCTTGGAAAACGAGGCAAGGACATGAGGTATTAATATTGTCAATGATCTCTTGACGGGAAAAGAGATACCGCATTCACTGTCAGATTTAAATAGACATCAAGTGCATTAATGACAAAGGGGCAGACTTCAAACAAAGGGGCTGTGTGGTAAGGAGCTGAGCTAGTCTCTGTGCTGGCAAAAACCTGATCTGAAAAGACACCGTCAGGGCTGCAGACAGGCCCAGGACTGTGTGCGGTGACAGGAGACAGAGATGCTGACAGAGATACCAGTGCCATATAATGCCAAGGATATTCGAGCACTGTCTACCGCGCTAACGAAAGCTGACATCACTCCCCATCACTCGGGGTTGTCTCTGCCTGCTCCCGCAGAACGATTCTCCCAGACATCATTACTAACTCGCTGCTGCTGCTGCAAAGTTCCTGGCAGCCTTGCTCTGTCGGAGCGGCAGGGTCGGGGGCGGAGGAGGGGACCAAGGATAACCTCAGTCAATCTAAATCCGGGCTTCGTGGGGGGAGCTCGCTCATGCCCACTGATACCTCGGCTACTTGAGGTGGTCGGGCCGCCGATGTGTGAGGAGCTGTCACCTTGAATAAAGTCCTTACAGGGCAGGCACTCAGTCTGCAGGCTGCTCTGAGAAGATGTGGGGATGACCTGGCAGCTGGCAATGAAATCCAGCTGGGACACTTACCTGGGGGAGAAAGGGGCTCTGGCTAGTGCCGGGTAAAATCGGCCACTCTTACACCCAGACTGTCTACAATGACTCAAATTAAACAAGCATTACCTCTGCCAGTGCTCGGGGTTGGGATCTGATTACCACTCATACGTGACTTTGGGGTTCGAAAATAAACAGACAGTAACAAGGACAAATCAACCAACTCAAATCGGCACAGCCCTGAGTACGGCCAGAGGATTTTATTTATCACAAAGGTTATTTGTAAAATCAGAGGCCCTGCTCATAAATTAAGGGAGCTGGCATTGCGTTTCTCCCTCCCTCAGCCTCCCCAAGGCCCTCCTCCACCCAGCACAGCAAGTGCCATAAACTGTGAAAATTACAGAGGGAATAGTTTGCTGGCAAAGAAGATTGTGACGGGAGGTGCCCTGAGGCTGGAATTCGGGAACCCGTGGGTTGTGACTCAGTAGGCGATGGTTTCCCTGCACATCTGCAATGGATTCATTTGTTTGTATCTCCTCAACCTACAACATCTCAGACGTGGAGGGAGAATAACACGTTTAATGGCATATGCAGTGTTTTTAATTAAAATATCTGGCTTTGACCATAGGAAGAGCAGTAAGCTGGCCATGCATCAGGCTGACATGCAGCTGTCCGTGTGGGGGTTCTTTTCAGGGGCCCTGAAAAATGACAGAGTGCTGTCCCCTGAGGAATCCTCTCCTGCCAAACGAGGTTCCTAATTTTTCTTAAGTAGCCAGCTTTCCCATCACCATAAGCTCTTAAAGCTATAATTATGAAAAAAAAAAAGTATTGGGAAGAATCTGTTTTAAAGAGGCCCTTTATCTTTTCGATGCCTCCCCCCTCTGGACTGGATATTGTAATTATGGGGCTGCCTAAGGGGGTGGGAATCAGCCTCTCTTCTTGGATGCGAGGCTGAGACAGCAGGGTCACACTGCAGACTTTGGTGGGGGAAACCCTGAGTGTCCAGGGAAGGCAGTTCTTGTACATCCATGGGTCTGAGTCCAGCAGTCTCCAGGGGTCACTGATTTCCTGGATGGCTTCACCCTTCCAGCTGCAGCTTGACTGTATAGTCAAGAGACTTGCCCTCAATGGTCATGTGACCACATACGTGTCTCTTTCCCTCACTAGGCTGGTTTTCTTGTTTCTAAAATGAGAGCAAGGATCCAGACAACCTCAGAGGTCCATTTCAGTTCTGAAATACAGGATTTAGTATTTTCATGTTTCCCTTATGACGATAAGGCCATCAGGTTCAATGTTGCCTGATGCAGGAAGTAAAGCCAATAGTCAGTCAATAAAAAAATTGATTTAGACTAAGTCTGCCCTTGAAACCCATCCAGCCCATATTCTCATATTATAGCCTGGACAGAGGAGAAGCTCTGGAGGGGCCCCAAATCCCCAAGGAAAGGGCTTTCACTATATTTCATACAGCTAGAATGCTGCTCACCGACTAACCTAGGTCTTGCTGGCTTTGACAGAAGCCCCAGCTCATGATTCCATATTCAACAGAACTAAAGCCTAACCCTCAGAGCTCAGAGCAAGTGGTCTGTCGTTAATATTCTAACAGTGGAAAGGAAAAAGAATCTGTGTGTACCAATATAAAAACGTTTTTGGTATCGGAGTGCCAGTTGGACCAAAAAACTCATATAGGTAAAATGAAGAAATCAAAGTATTAATTCTCATTCTCATGAGCTTTGGTAACCATCGTTTTAGTGAGTATCAAGTTAAGTGCTGTTATCACGAATGTAAGTGTGGCTACGTCATGACAAGTAGATTTTGATCCTATGGCCATCACCAGAGCTTATAATTAGCACTAGGAAACAAGTGAGGGATGGAGTGTGTCTCATACAACTGATCTCTAACCTGCAGGAGGAAAAGAAGGAACGAGATCTCTGAAAAAAGTGATGACACAATTGTGGAGCGGTAGATGGGCCCAGTGACAGAGGAGAAAGGGGTATCAGGAGAGTCATTCTGGCCTAGCGAG